GGAGTTCGTACATTGTTCTAATAAGGAATGATTTAATTCAAATAGTAGATAATCATGTCTACTATTTTATTCTTATTAATTTTAGTTTGTATTTTAATTTTACTCTTAATGCAATATTATAATTGATATTCGTTATTTACTAATTTTTTCACCGTCAATTTTCTTGATCTTGTGGAAACAAATTTGTTTATCAAAGTTTTTTGTCAACTAAAAAATTAATTCTAGTTAGATGACGTATTTGAAAAATAGTTGGATTATATTTGCTAATAATTAATTTAAAGACTTAATTATTTAATTTTATTGTGACAGTAACTCATTAAATTTTTATTTATGCCAAATTTTAAATTTTGAATTATAACATGAAAAAATGACAATTATGTCACGTTACTAAAATAAAGAATAATTCATATAAGGTAATTTAAATTTAAATTAGTTTAAAAGTAAAAAAATCAATTAACCCAAATGGTTTCCGTGATGTTCCCCTATATTTTCTTACCATCATTGAACGTACATGTGTTGGGTGAGTTTATTAGAGCGTTTAATTAATAGAATTTTAGTTGATGTTAAAATCCTACGTATTAAGAACTTAATATGGAATGATTACAATTATATAAATAAATTTAAATGCAAAAATAATTTAAATAAGGTAAAATCTTAATTGATTTGAATTCCTAAATATTAGGACTTGATACATAATTTAATTAAGGAACTAAATTCTAAATATTAGGAAATAATTTGAATTACTATTTTGTCCAATGTGAAATTTATTTTAAAAAGGTAAAAAAGGCAAACGACATTTTGCTAAGGGCGTTTGTGCTTTTAATATAGTATATAGATTTGTGAAAGAAATTCAGCTGGAAGTACGTAACAAATTGCAACTTGATATTGAGTTTGTGAATTGTGTATACATCTTTTGATTTATCGAAGTAATTCAAACTATAACTTATTACCTTTCTCCATAAACTGACCACGTGGTGATACATACCATCTCACATCATCATACAAGAGTGACACAAGTTTTTTTAATAGTGTTTTAACCGATGGAATAGAGGCTGAAACAATGATGAGTTGTAAAATGATTGTAAGCATATGCATGTTGTAGCAACGCCTAATAATCAACTGACTTAGCCTTAAATCAACTTTTCCTACTTTATCAAAGTTGTAAAAAAGTAAGCAAATTGAACTGTTTGTTGCTGTAGTGTTTAATAGGCCAAATGTAACACCATAACCATACTAAATGAAATAAAGCGGACTATTTTTCTCTTTATTTTAGTTACATATTTCTACACATTCTTGGAGTACAACATCTTCAAAATCTATCTCAAACCAATTATAATCCATAGATTTATTTGTTGTTCGTCGTATCCTATGTCACAAAGATCAATGTCAGCCTGATCAAACTAAAAATTATATTGTCCTTTTGTCTTTAAAACAGGTAAAAGTTTAGAAGTACGATGACAATATTAGAAATCAACTATTTTCACCCAAAAATTAAAAAAGATTAAAGAGCAAAACCAACATGCATATTGAAAAATAAGAACCATGTACTTGAAAAAATCTAAGATATATTGAGACACATAATTAATTAAATGCAGCAGAATATGCTAATTCCAATATATGATTAAAACATAAAATTAAACTTGAGATTACCTGCACTACACTGTATGGCAATTTTTCCGGTAGAGCAAATTTTGAGATGTGAAACTTCGGCTGCTTCTTCCTTGTAACTATATTTTGCAATTCTTTTGCTTTCACCTTATAGTAAATGTAAGTGTATACACATGAGAATCAACAATTTTTTGGGGAAAATACCCACGTCAAGGACAAAGAGAAGAAACACTGAATTTGAATAAAGATCCAAAATTAAAATTTAATCAAAAGACCCATAAAAGGGGAAAACCATGGGGAATAGACACAATAGAGGGTATACTTAAGTTGTAAAAGAAGCTAACTACGGAGATGGCATTGTCAATAAAGTGAAAATTCGATGCATGTAGAATAATTATAACTTAAATACCAGAAAAAACCAACAAATATGAAAGAATATCAAATTAATCAAATAGAAATAAACTAAAGGAAATCCCAAAACTCAAAAATAAAATCGAAACCCACCGGCAACGGGCAGAATGCAGTGAAACAGAATAAACTGAAGACTTCGAAAGAATGTGATTGAGCAAAGAAAAAACCAAAATATCTTACTACAAGAAAAATGGAGAAGGCAAAAATGGTATAAACTAATGCTGTATTCTGGCCCGGGCCTAACGGGCCGGGCTTCGTGGTCCCGGGCTTCGTGGTCCTGGGCTCTGGCGGTCCCGGTCTTTGTGGGCTCAATGGGTGGAACCGGCCCGTGACGGGCCTAAGCCC